CTCTGTGTGGGTCGTGACCGGGCTCTCTGCAACAATCTCTACCATCCTTGCTGTTGTGATCCTCTGCCTCCGCAACCACATCAGCTACTTGTTCACAGATGGTGAAGCAGTTTCGGACGCGGTGGCAGATCTCTGCCCGTTGCTCGCCGTAACCCTCGTTCTCGGTGGCATCCAACCTGTACTGACAGGTAACTTTTAGAAACTTTCTGCATGACGAAATGTGCTATCTTCATTCTTGTCTGGCCCATTAGTACAACTTTCTAGAGTGTTCATGGCAGGTGCAATTTTCAAACATAAGTAGCTGGTAGTATCACTAGCCCATCTATATTTTGTTTAACGTTACAATTCCTATGCAATTTCAGTTTTTTAATTCAATCTATATTTTTTGTTCATAGTTACTGAATTCCAACATACCCTGTCGGCCATGCACAAACTATTATGCCTATCCTGTTATTTTAAGGATATAGTAGGTTTCCATACCATGATTTGATTAGTTTTTGTATTCAAATACAAGAAAAGAATAGGCTACTACAAGATATAGACCCTTAGGGAAGAAAAGTGAAGGTACAAATTAGGGAAACAACTCTACCATGTTTTCTGATGCATATGTTCTCTCTTGAGATACCACATATTCATCTTGATTTAAATTTACTAACATCCATGGAAACATCAGGTGTTGCCGTTGGGTGTGGATGGCAACAATTTGTTGCTTACGTGAACGTCGGCTCTTACTACGTTGTAGGCGTTCCACTTGGTGTTGTTCTCGGTTTTTTCTTCAATCTTGGCGCAAAGGTGATGGATCTGTCTGTGAAATTTTCATATATATTCAGTGATGGTACAGTCTTCAATTCTGTGTTCTAACTTGTTTTGATGGAATCGCATGCCTACTTGCAGGGTATTTGGGGTGGCTTGATTGGGGGAACGGCCTTGCAGACAGCCATTCTGCTATGGGTCACCATAAGAACAGACTGGACCAAAGAGGTATCCTTTATTATTACAAGAGCAGAAAGTTGAATTTACATTTCCGTTCTTTTAAACAAAATTTGAAATGATGAATAGCAAATTAACCCCCTGATGTCCGAGGATACAGCCTATCTTTCTTGTCGCCATATATGTTGTCATAAGTGTAACATACAAACTGTTGCCTGCTCATTGTCGTTCCTTCCATCACATGATTTAGAACATTCTTGAGAGTATATGCTTGATGCAAACTTATCAAATATATGCGTTGAAAAAGATGCACTATTTAACTGTATTGTGTTTTTCCTACATTCCTCAGGTAGAGGAGGCACAGAAAAGGTTGAACAATTGGGACGAGAAGAAAGAGCCTCTCCTTGCAGGGTTCAAGGACAATAACAAATAAGTGGACCAGTCTAGAATTGTGTTTCCAGTTATCCGATTCAGAAGTGTGCTGGCTATGAGATTCGCCGTCGGCGTGGGTGGGAGGGGCAGAATTCAGGTCTCCTTATTTTCGTGTAGATATCTATGAGTTTGTGCCTCAATTTTTTGGATGACACGCCAGTGATGGGCTTGTTAATACATACTGTAGTCTTGGTTAGCATGTTACATCTTTCTTTTGTTGAATTGTCTTTAAGTTATTGGTTTTCCCGTCTTTATTGGAAGGCCATTATTTGGCGACTTTGTAATACATTTGTAATTAGCTTGGCATGATGCTGAATCAGGTAAAGAAAAGGGTGTGAAGTTTTGGATAGGAGACCGGAATAAGTGTTGTGGTTTTAGTTCAAATTTGAACTAAAACAACCACATTTAGTTTGGATAAGAGGGACTAGTAAATGGTTACCTTGCATTGCGACGTTTATAAATATTATAGTATTTAGCATGTGATTTACCTGCCCATATTATTGTGACTGCGTGAAAAAGTAGAATTTTATTTGATAAACACTCATTTGGTAACTTTATTGACTTATCACATAAAACACAATTTTATTTGATAAGTCAATAATTGGTGTGACAATTGAGGCGGTTTATAGCAATGGAAAAAGCGGAGATGGAAGGAAAAAAAATATCAAAATAGAAAGAGGGAGTGTGGAATTTACTAAGTTAGACAAAGGAGAACTGAATGACGGGACTTTAGTGTTTCTTTTTTAAGTTAGGAGATATTTTTAAGTAGAATATCCTCTCCACATGCACACATGAAATGCAAGGTGCAACAAGGTTTGTGCTAAGTCCAACTCCTTTAAGTTTGACTAAGCTCGTAGAAAAATATGCTAACATATACAACACCTAATGTCATCATTGAGCTTTTTTTATCAACCTTGCTGCACCAATGACCATGTGAGTAGTCATCCGTGGACTACGGGTCCATACCAATAGTTATGTGGCTTCTACTCTCTCACGTTCTTCCACTACTAGAAAAATCATATAGATAGACAGGTAACAATGGCGTGGCAGTAGCGCGGGCCTAATACAAGCGATGCAGGTGGCCATTCGTAGTAGAGTAGGCCCACCAACTGATGTAGCACGCCCAATACCAGTCACACTTGGTACACCTAGTGCATCGACTATGCCAATCGTTGATAAATGGGTGCACACAAATGTTGTCATTGGCAACGAGGCATGGAAAAGAAAAGAGAACGGCGAACAAAACAAAAGAAGCAATATTTTAGTTCAGTTTGATAGAGGTCGTGATGGTCATCTTCAAGCATTATTCGGACCAGGTACACCAGTGCTAATTAATGGGAGAAGACATATTAAATATAAATTGACATACATTAATTCACAAGGATCAATGGGCAGAATGGCGTCCCTACATGCCATGCATAAAAGGAGTAATGGTTATTCACGTTGGAGGAATACAAATCAAATTGGTTTGCTACATAATAGGAAACAGAATCAGTGTGAACCAACCTGTGGTTGGATGGCTAGAGGGACTGTGGTATCCTCAGCCCACCAGGTTTCAAATCCTGGTGCTCGCATTTATTCCTGAATTTTTATTTAAGGATTTCCGGCGATGCGATATGCCGGCTCAGTTTTTCGGAGGTGCTCATAGGGGTAGGGTATGCATGTGTGCGTTCATATGGGTGAGTGGACGGTCAATAGCTAGATTTCAGTCAGCTGAATTTTAGTTTTGTGGTCAATCAATTTTTTGACCCTTGGATTGTGCTTTAAGATTTGTGTAGCTTTTCTTTTTTCCGTCAAATTTTGCTGGTGATATTGGGCTGTTTGGATTCGATTGACACCTATTTTCGGTCTGTCAATTCCTTCTTGGGCTGGATTTTGGTGTGTGTATGCTTTTTTTTCATGTGTTTACTTTTGTTTTCTGCACGTGTATGCTTTTTTTTATGTTTCTGTTGAGTTTTTTCTTCTTCTTTATGTGTATTATTGGATGTTGAGTGCGTGAAAATGTATACATGCAAGTACTCCATGTACAAATTACATCATAGACAGAAACTTCACTCTTATATAATTATTTTATATATTATAAAAGTGCATTTTTTGTGCTAATTATGTGGATCTTTTTCAATTTCTTTATTTTTTAAGGGTAATATCAATACTAATTGTTTTGTGCAATTTTTTGCTAATTAAATACATTTTTCTATTATAATGTGTATGTATGCATGAAAGTACAATACAATACGTGTGTAAATTATACCAGGCTGCTGAAGTTGCATTATTATATGTGTATTAGCTGCATATTATAAAAAGTGCAATTTCAGTGCAAAGTTGTGTGCAAGTTTTTTCTTTATTTTCTTTCCTCTTGAGAGTAATTCTAATGTCCCTAATTTATTCTCCCTTAGAAAACTTCATTTGTTCTATTATGTTTAGTTTTTAATTCATTTCATGTTTTTAAGGACGATAACAATGCCACTTATTCGTTCCTTGTTTAAAATTTTCATTTTTATGTAAAATTCACTATGATATGTTTATTCTTACATAACTAAAAAGTGCAATTTATGTGTAAATTGTGTGCAAATTGTATCATTATTTTTTGAATTCTTTTCTTCTTAAAGGGTGGTACCAATGCCACTATACTTCATTTCTTCTTATAATTTTTTTTTGTGTTTGTAAGTAAGTATACTCGTAGGTATGATTCACCATGTGCGTAAATTATAGTAGAAGCAAAAGTTGCACTATATATGCTTATTTTTGGCATATTAGAAAAGTGCAATTTGAGGGCATACTTGTGTACAAGTTTTAAAAAAAATTCTTCTCAAAGGGTTTCATTTCCCAAAACTTCATTAGTTTGTTTTGGTTTTTGTTTTTATATTTTCGTTCTTCTTAAAGGGTTTTGTTATTACATTGAAAACTTTATTGTTTTGTTTTAGTTTTAGTTTTAGTATTTGTTTTTTAAGGGTTTCATTCTTCCATAGAAAACTTCATTATTTTCTATTTGTTTTTGTTTTTCTTCTTTCTTCTTAAAGGGTTTCATTCTTTCCTAGAAAACTTCATTATTTTGTTTTTGTTTTTTTATTTTCTTTCTTCTTAAAGGGTTTCAATCTTTCATAGAAAATTTCATTATTTTGTTTTTCATTTTTATTATCTTTCTTCTTAAAGAGTTTTATTCTTCCCTAGAAAAAATCATTATTTTTTCATTTTCATTTTTGTGCGAATTTATTTTTGTGTGAATTTTCTATTCAAAAGTTGCACTTGTCTCGAGGTCTGTTGTCACCGACGGGTTGCATGCTTGCTTTCTAGGATGGCAAAGCACATCCAGATAAAACACCAGCTACTTGATAAAAAAACATACAAATTCTCCATAATTCCAAAGCCAAAACTTGGAGAAGAAACAATTATCATGATAAACAGGCATCCAGTATGAACAATCAGAAATATGTGTGTAAACGAGTAACAACTGACTTCAAGCATGGCTTTTGACTACAAAATTCATGCAACATGAGATTGCTTAGCACGCCGCTGCAAACCAGGATAAAGCCAGCATGATCATGTGGTAGAAGTATTTCGGATTACAAGATGTCTAATACAATAAGATTGCTCATCTAATCTCATAGACTAGTCTCAATTTGGGGAGTCCCCTCCGATCAGCGGATCATCAATCCTTGCATCCCCTGCCCGCCATCTTCAGTCACCTTGTTAGCTTGGATTGTGTTGATAGCATTTGCAATGTTTCCCTGTAGCAGAATTTTAAGAGGAAACTGTATTAGTTGCTCGGTAAGCACCTAAAAGTTCTCTAGGTCACTGTACGAGTTACACATCTGACATTCATCGGGAAATCGGAAAGCTATGCATGTTTGAACTAGTTTGCAGCTGAAATTTTCTACTGCAAATTTGAGAGGAGGTAATTGTGAGAGGCTTACCCTCCACACTCCAAGCTTTGAACGTAGACTCTGCCATTGTGGCATCCCAAAGACCTTCACAGTATGCCGGCTGAAATTACATGTCAGAACAAGTATTAACGAAAAAGGAAAGGATAACACGGTAATATGGACCAAGAAAGTCTTGTGGACATGAATACCTGACAATGACCAATTGATTAAGCTGGTCAACTTTGCAGTCCAAAATCTTTGATGAAATTGCTTTCACAATCCAATATTCCACCTCATCATCATTGATCTAACAAAGAATTAAAAAAGACAATGTAACATTAAATCAAGTGAACAACAATAGGAAGGCAAGGTAAGCCGATTACCTCAAGGGCTTTTGTAATTGCAGAGTAAGGAATTTCCCCAGAACAATGGCCACTCAGATCAAGCAGGGACATCAGACGCATTTTGGTTATGCACTCCTCATGAACCAGTCCTGTAAATGGTCCACCATTAGATATCCAAAACTTGAAGCAACGTAGTATTGCTAGCATTGGTTCACCAGAACATACCATATCCTTGCAGCAAGGTAGAGTTAGCAGTCTGAAACGCTAAATAGGATTCGAGCCTCTGAGTAAGGAATATCTTCAGTAGCTCGTAAACTGGCTGATACTTGTCATCTTTCTCGAGCTGTGCAACAGCTGGCATATCGAGCAGGTCACACTGCAATAAGCATATTTCCATCAATACATACAGTATATAAGGTAAGGTATGCAGCCAGTGCTAGATTTTTAACTGGCATTAAACCACATGTATAGTTTGCCAGGGTTAAAACTTGCTAAATAAATCCCTCAAGAATTTCAGAACCTACTGTTGGCATACAAGGCACAACGACATACAAAGCAGTAGCAGAGGAATTGCGCAATGCAATGCATAGCGGCACAAGTTTGTGGAAGCAATAATCCATCAAACCAAAAGAAGAAAGCTTGTAAGGGACATCTTGTCACAATTTTGGCTTGGCTCGGTCTAGTAGTAACCAGAAATATTTAAGGTTGACAAGATTAACATTTGCAGGCTAGTGCGAGCAGATAACTTTAGTCTTCTTACATCTAATATAGTGATATTTGACTGTCATAACCAAATTCACATTTGGTGACATGATTGGAGAATGGCATGTTTCTGGTATGGAGAAAGCGATGCATTATGGCACGAACACAAGCCCTAAGACGGAGATGTAATAAAAGTACCTGATAGAGGTCAGATGACTTGACAAACTCAACAATTGCTGCAGCAGCTTCTTCCTTTGCCGCACCGATTGCATCAGCATCATCACCCGATCCATCGAACGTGGCCAGGTACTTGTTCAGAAACTTGAAGTAGTCCTTGGTCATGCTGACAATCATCATCATCATAACAAGAACGGATCGTGTCAGTATACAACAATCTTGCCGCCATGTTACTTACACACTGGCTAAAAAATAAATGCAAGGAACTTGGAAGCAAAGGGCCGCACCCCTTGTGGTCTTTAAGAATCCTGGTGACAGCAAGGAACAGCTCCCTCTGCTCCGGCTTGCCGATGCCCCAGTAGGCGACAAAGGCATCGATGTTCTTGAAAGTGGGGACGACGCAGTCGGCGGCGGCCTTCCCGGCGGTGGCGGCGAGCTCGAGCGCCTTCCTGTAGACCAAGGCCTTGCCGGAGAGGCTCGGAAGCAGGTTGTACAGGCTGAAGAGGACTTTGATGCGCAGCGTGGTCTTGTCGGCCGGGTGGTGGGTGAGCTTGGCGCAGATGAGCTTGGCGATCTCCAGGGCCTCGTCCTCGGATCCGGCCTTGGTGACGAGGTTGCAGGTGACGGTCAGGGTGCACTCGAGATCTGACAGCAGCGAGTGTAGGATGGATAAGCAAGGCGCGATTGGACAAGAAGCCGGTGGGGATGGAGACGGAGAGAGGTACCTTTGTCGGGGGCGCTGGGGGAGAGGAGGAGGAGGTCGGCGGAGGCGAGCATGAGGGTGGCCATGTCGAGCCAGCGGGCGGCGAGGAGGTGCTGCTGCGCCTCGGCGCAGAGGCGGGCCACCTCAGGGTCGGCGACCTCCGGGCCCGCGTCGGCCCAGGCGAGCTGCGCGGTGGAGCGCACCACCGCCAGCATCTGCTCCTCCTCCGTGGTGTTCACTATCGTCGCCATGGTCGGTCGGGTTCTTCTCTCTTCCTCCTCGCTAGGGTACGCCGCCGCCGCCGCCGGTGTGGGAGAGGGAAGACGGGGAGGGGATGGGGATTGGGAAAGAGAAATTCCCACAGGGGCGATCTAGTGGGCCGGCCCATTAGCAGCGACAGTTCTGTAACGTGCTCTACAAAAAAAAAAGCGAGTTCTGTAGCCATTGCACCACGAAAGCTTCTCCGGTAAAATGACGCAGCTAACGAGGAAAGTACTATGCCCTGTTCGGTTCAGCTCTTATCTGACGGATTCCGCTGCTGCGTAGTAGAATCTGAACCAAAGGGTAAACTCAGCAGAATTCGATTTTAGAAATCCACTGTCAAAATCTGAATCAAAAGCAGAAGCAACCTAGGACGTGCTTCCAAAAATCTAATTTTGTTACGGGCCAAAATCTGAAAAAGTTATATCAGCTGGTTTGACAAATGACCTACATCTTTTCACATCAGATTTTTCACAGCTGCTTTTAGAAATCCACAGCTGAACCAATCAGGGCCTATAAGCCACGACAGGTCTAAACATTTTTGAAAGTTCAAACACAATTTGTTTTGAAAACCTGTATATTTTTCTAAACACGGGCATATATTCAAATTTGCGAATAGTTATTTATAGAGTTGAACATTGTTTTGACCTGTGAACAGATTTTTGAAAAACAGCAAAATTCTTCGTCATTTTGAACAATTTTTGGAAACACGAACATTTTTAAATTTGCGAATGATTTTTGAAAAACAAGAAATTTTCATAGAATTCTGAACGAAAATAGAAAATGCAAACATTTTTTGAAAAATGGAAATAATTTCCGAAACTAGGAACAAAATTTGGAAAAGCGGACATTTTTTGGATCAATGAATTTTTTTTTTGAGGTTTTGGAATAATTTGTAAGACAATTCATATGAATGTCAAACAACTTAGCGAGCGTCTTTACATGTATCTTCCGAGTTATAATAACATAATTCAACATAGAAGCGCGAGCACTTCTCCCCTCAAAACCATCAATGGCATGGCTCGGTGTCCTTTATCGATTGTGAGGACTATTTTATGGATAATAAGGGCATGATTTATGGGAGCAGCCATGCCATCCACCTAGTAGAAAAGGCTGAGGTACTAGTTTGAATTTTCTCTCCCTAATGGAGGGATATGAGGCTACCATTGGATGGACTCTACACAGATTCTCTCTCTCCTCACATTTCATCACTCGGCTTAGCTTTTTTTCTACTTTTTCCATGAGGCGTCTACTGTTGGGGAACGCAGTAATTTTAAAAAAAATCCCACGCACACGCAAGATCATGGTGATGCATAGCAACGAGAGGGGAGAGTGTCATCCACATACCCTCGTAGACTGTAAACGGAAGCGTTATGGGAACGCGGTTGATGTAGTCGCACGTCTTCATGATCCGACCGATCCAAGTACCGAACGTACGGCACCTCTGAGTTCAGCACACATTCAGCTCGGTGACGTCCCACGAATTTCGATCCAGCAGAGCTTCGAGGGAGAGTTCCGTCAGCACGACGGTGTGATGACGGTGATGATGATGCTACCGACGCAGGGCTTCGCCTAAGCACCGCTACGATATGACTGAGGTGGATTATGGTCGAGGGGGGCACCGCACACGGGTAAAAAGATCAATGGGTCAACTTGTGTGTCCATGGGGTGCCCCCCTCCTCCGTATATAAAGGAGTGGAGGAGGGGGAGGGCCGCCCCTCTACTATGGCGCGCCCTGGGGAGTCCTACTCCCACCAGGAGTAGGATGCCTCCCCCCTTCCAAGTAGTAGGAGTAGGAGAGAAGGAAAAGGGAAAAGAGAAGAGAAGGAAGGAAGGGGCACCGCCCCTCTCCCTAGCCCAATTTGGACTAGGCCTTGGGGGTGCGCAGCCTCCTCTCTCTCTTTTCCCCTAAAGCCCAATAAGGCCCATATACTCCGTGGTGAATTCCCGTAACTCTCCGATACTCCGATAAATACCCGAACCACTCAGAACCTTTCCGATGTTCGAATATAGCCTTCCAATATATCGATCTTTACGTCTCGAACATTTCGAGACTCCTCGTCATGTCCCTGATCTCATCTAGGACTCCGAACAACCTTAGGTACATCAAAACACATAAACTCATAATACCGATCGTCACCGAACGTTAAGCGTGCGGACCCTACGGGTTCGAGAACTATGTAGACAAGACCGAGACTCATTTCCGGTCAATAACCAATAGCGGAACCTGGATGCTCATATTGGCTCCTACATATTCTACGAAGATCTTTATCGGTCAAACCGCATAACAACATACGTTGTTCCCTTTGTCATCGTAATGTTACTTGCCCGAGATTCGATCGTCGGTATCTCAATACCTAGTTCAATCTCGTTACCGGCAAGTCTCTTTACTTGTTCCGTAATGCATCATCCCGCAACTAACTCATTAGTCACATTGCTTGCAAGGCTTATAGTGATGTGCATTACCGAGAGGGCCCAGAGATACCTCTCCGACAATCGGAGTGACAAATCCTAATCTCGATCTATGCCAACTCAACAAGTACCATTGGAGACACCTGTAGAGCACCTTTATAATCACCCAGTTACGTTGTGACGTTTAATAGCACACAAAGTGTTCCTCCGGTATCCGGGAGTTGCATAATATCATAGTCATAGGAACATGTATAAGTTATGAAGAAAGCAATAGCAACAAACTAAACGATCATCGTGCTAAGCTAACGGCTGGGTCAAGCCAATCATATCATTCTCTAATGATGTGATCCCGTTCATCAAATGACAACTCTTGTCCATGGCTAGGAAACTTAACCATCTTTGATTAACGAGCTAGTCAAGTAGAGGCATACTAGTGACACTTAGTTTGTCTATGTATTCACACATGTACTAAGGCCCCGTTCGGATTCCCTCCGCTCCGCGGCTCCGTGCCGGAGATTAAGGCCACAATTTGCAGAGTTGGTTAAGGCCCGCTCCGCGCGCTCCACTCTGCGGAGGACTGCCGAACGGGGCCTAAGTTTCATGTTAATACAATTCTAGCATGAATAATAAACATTTATCATGATATAAGGAAATAAATAATAACTTTATTATTGCCTTTAGGGCATATTTCCTTCAGTCTCCCACTTGCACTAGAGTCAATAATCTAGTTCACATCGTCATGTGATTTAATATCAATAGTTCACATCTTTATGTGATTAGTTCATATCTCCATGTGACTAACACCCAAAGGGTTACTAGAGTCAATAATCTAGTTCACATCGCTATGTGATTAACACTCAAAGAGTGATCATGTTTTACTTGTGAGAGAAATTTAGTCAAAGGGTCTGCCACATTCAGAGCCGTATGTATTTTGCAATTTTTCTATGTCTACAATGCTTTGCTTAGAGCTACTCTAACTAATTGCTCCCACTTTCAATATGTATCTAGATCGAGACTTAGAGTCATCTAGATCGGTGTCAAAAGCTTGCATTGATGTAACTCTTTACGACGAACTCTATTATCACCTCCATAACCGAGAAATATTTCCTTAGTACTCTAAGGATAATTTTGACCGCTGTCCAGTGATCTACTCCTAGATCACTATTGTACTCCCTTGTCAGAATCATGCTAAGGTATACAATAGGACTGGTACACAGCATAGCATACTTTATAGAACCTATGACTGAGGCATAGGGAATGACTTTTCATTCTCTTTCTATTTTCTGTTGTGGTCGGGTTTTGAGTCTTTACTCAACTTCACACCTTGCAACACAGGCAAGAACTCCTTCTTTGACTGTTCCATTTTGAACTACTTCAAAATCTTGTCAAGGTATGTACTCATTGAAAATATATCAAGCGTCTTGATCTATCTCTATAGATCTTGATGCTCAATATGTAAGTAGCTTCACTGAGGTCTTTCTTTGAAAAATTCCTTTCAAACATCCCTTTATGCTTTCCAGAAAATTCTACATTATTTCTGATCAACAATATGTCATTCACATATATTTATCAGAAATGTTGTAGTGCTCCCACTCACTTTCTTGTAAATATAGGCTTCACTGCAAGTCTGTATAAAACAATATGCTTTGATCACTTTATCAAAGCATATATTCCAACTTCGAGATGCTTGCACCAGTCCATAGATGGATCGTTGGAGCTTGCTCACTTTGTTAGCACCTTTAGGATTGACAAAACCTTCTGGTTGCATCATATACAACTCTTCTTTAAGAAATCCATTAAGGAATGCAGTTTTGACATCCATTTGCCAGATTTCATAAAATGCGGCAACTGCTAACATGATTCGGACAGACTTTCAAGCATTGATACGAGTGAGAAAATCTCATCGTAGTCAACACCTTGATCTTGTCGAAAACATTTTTGCGACAATTCGAGCTTTGTAGATAGTAACACTACTATCAGCGTCCGTCTTCCTCTTGAAGATCCATTTATTCTCAATGACTCACCGATCATCGGGCAAGTCAATCAAAGTCCATACTTTGTTCTAATACATGGATCTCATCTCAGATTTCATGGCCTCAAGACATTTTGCGGAATCTGGGCTCATCATCGCTTTCTCATAGTTTGTAGGTTCATCATGGTCTAGTAACATGACTTTCAGAACAGGATTACCATACCACTCTAGTGCGGACCATACTCTGATTGACCTATGAGGTTCGGTAGTAACTTGATCTGACGTTTTGTGATCATCATCATTAGCTTCCTCACTAATTGGTGTAGTAATCACTGGAACTGATTTCTGTGATGAACTACTTTCCAATTAGAGAGAAGGTACAATTACCTCATCAAGTTCTACATTCCTCCCACTCACTTCTTTCGAGAGAAACTTCTTCTCTAGAAAGGATCCATTCTTAGCAACGAATATCTTGCCTTCGGATCTGTGATAGAAAGTGTACCCAACTATTTCCTTTGGGTATCCTATGAAGACGCATTTCTCCGATTTGGGTTCGAGCTTATCAGGTTGAAACTTTTTCACATAAGCATCATAGCCCCAAACTTT